GTCAGAAGCTCTGTCTGCAAGGCTGGCAGGGTGTTAACTGTGAAGAGGCAATTTGCAAACCAGGCTGTGACCCGACACATGGGAAATGCGATCGACCTGGTGAATGCGAGTAAGTAAACCTAAGTTTAAGTAATTATTTAGCAAAGTTAGAAAAGTTTATTTAGTTTAGTTACGTATTTACACTCTTGTAACATTATTTGGAAGATAAGTTTAATGGAATGAATGTCTATACAATGTCTTCTGTAGCGCAATTGGTCTCCTAAAATATAAATTTGATTTTAATATATTGAAAGTTGCTGAAATGAATTTCAAATTTCATATAAAATGTTTTAATTCACCACCAACGAAATGTGTCAGCAGAAATCACTTCCAATTGATCGGAAATAGCCACAGAATATTAAAGAAATAGAAATCTTGTAACTTGTATCGCTGACATAAACACAACTGTTGCAGATACAAACAACATAAAAATGGCAGCACGATCTTCATATGTATAAAATACACATATCAGTAAATGTGATTCATAGTCGAAAAAACCATTTTCGAAATCGATTTGTGATATGAAACAAATAAAAACGACAACAACAATATTGAGTAGCATTGAGAAGCAACAACAATTGCTACAATGCAGCGATTGCATTGGTAACATTTCCATTAATTTTGGATCAGTTCAATTGTTTGTTCCTGATGGTCTTGTTGTTTTTGCAGTTCGTCGGCAATCATTGTTTCGAATGCTGCTTAAACCAACAAATTGTCGTTGTTTGTACAGTGGCAACAAAAGTCGCTGAGGGCATCTATCGAAGCCATCAACCCTAGTGGCACCTACAACTGCAACAATGTACAGCGGGAGCTGTTTTAGTTCCTCACTGCCCTCACTTCCCTCATCTTCCGCAACTCGTTTAAGATACTTTTTAACTTATTTTCTCATATTTAACGATTAGGAATTTTCATTAAATGTTGTTTTAGGTTGTAATTTTGTCTATTCAATTTTGATTTGTTGTTAAACATTTTCAATACAATTTTTTCAGTCTTAGTTGCCTCTTAATGCAGAATTCGTAATAATTTTTATGGGAGGTGGAGCTTTTCTACTATTAATAGCAAAAGAAGAAAAAACGTGGAAAAAATGAAGCATTTAATTTTGTTTTTATGGCCATTAAATTAAGTTCAGTCGCCGTACTGGAGTTGCATCAAACCACTCATCATCTCGGCGAACAACAATTGGCACAGAAAATTTACAACCGCAACAACAATAGCCGCCTTCATATGTCCCTCGGACTTTGTATCAGTCTCAGATGCGGTGTCTCAGTCTCAATCGTCAAAAACAGTACCTCAGTCTTCAGCTGTACCACCGTACCACCAACGGACTCAGTATCGATGCAACATTTGCTGCTCTGCATTTGCAGTTTTTTGATTTTTGCTACTCGATTCAGGCACGAAAAAACGTTTCAGTTTTTGTTGAAATAAGCGTAACACAAAATACGTGATTTCAATGTTGTTCGCAACTACAACAACAATAAAATTCCTTTGTTGAAAAAAAAACTAGAACGATAACCACAAGTTCTACCATTGAGAATTCGAATAGATAGACGCTGCAATGTCTTAGTATTACGCCTGCTTCAAAGTTTCATCTCGTCTCTTTGCTAGTTTTCCTCCATAAAAGCCAACTCAACTCACTTACTGCGGTCTTGGTTTAAGTAAATCATAATTTGGTCAAATTTACGATTTTCCGACTGGATCTGCTATTCTATTTGGCCTTAAACAGTCGAAAAAAGTAGAACTAAGTAAATGACTAATTTGGATTAAGTTTTTTGCAATAATTGAACAGATCAATCTATACAATTGTAGATTTGTTAATTATCATAAAGTTGCTGTGAGAATATTTTTATCTATTCACTCTTTTTAGTTTTATAAATTTTTATTGCAAAGATGCGTGTGAGGTCAACCAATAGTCTAGGTACAGCTGAATATGTAATTGTTGCTTCTGCCTCCAACCCAATCCCACTTAAATTTCAATTATGAAGTAAAATCTTCTGAAACTCTGCTCGCTGTCTTAGAGAAAACACCAACCTCACGACTTTTTGAACGACTCTAATCAAAAATAAGGCAAAACGAATACCGATCTTGGCCGCGATGGCAATGATCTTGCTCCAGAATTTGTAAATGATACCAGCGAATTGTTTCAGGCTTTGTATCAACTTCAACTGGGCTATGTGCCATGAAATGAAAGACTGGAAAATGAATTACTTTAGGTTTTGCACATTGTCTCGACTGCGTTGACTGCTTGGACATCCACTGAGCGGCTCTGTATTCCGCGGCACACCACTGCTGCTTAGATTGGTCTTCAGATAAACTTTTCCTTCCTAATGAAATCATAAATCATGCTTCGCTTCTCTCATATTTCCCCTTCGCTGCACTGAGCCAACTGATTTCTTGTCCACTTTCTATCACGGCATATTCTGTCAGCAATAGCTTCAATGACATGTCTCATATGTGGCTGATGAGATACAGTTTTTCTCGTGCTGCACTTGCTGCAACGAAACTTTTAGTGCCTATCAGCCTGAATTCGCAAGCTTTGTGCTGTGCTTTGTAATGAAAAGTATATTTGTAGTGTTGGCACTTGTTGCAGATGCAACGGTATTTTCCCATTAACTTAATTTGGCTATTATTCAATTTTAATCTCTTCTGATATTTGAGTTTGTTTTTAAAAATTAATAGCCAAGACAATTTAAAAGTGCTTCACGTCATCACACCTTTAAGTGCCATCGAGTTATCCAAAGTGGTAATGTAATTCGTATCAGCAACAGGAACGACGACACCTTTGTGCTTTCTGGCACCTTTGGAACACGTTTTAATTGTAAGCCAATGCAGTTGGGTGCCGCAGGGAGACTTCATCCGGGTTGGGTTTATCAGTGAGTTCAGCTAATTTCGATGTGAAGCCAAACACCGATAAAAATTTGTCGTTTTCTGCTTTTCATCAGTCGCAAGGCAAAGGTTGCTCAATGCTGTAATTGGCACGAATTCTGCAAGGAGCTTAGAAGCTAATTCCTCTATGTGTTATATTTCTCCTTACGAATCCTCAGCGTTCCGAGCAAATACTTGCTGCATTATAATTTGTGTGTGGAATTTTTATTGTTCTGAGAATTTGTTATTAATTGAGTTGTAGTTGCAGTTGCAGTTGCAGTGAAACCAACTGCGCTGATACGGTATCAGTGTCCCGATCACCATATGAACTGATCTTCGTTGACTTGGCTTGTGTCTTTTGTTATTGTTTTATATTTGTTATTCTGTATAATAGTTTTTTCGTGCTTTCTCAACCGTATTCATGGACAATTTTCTTTTATGAATATGTTTAAATGGAATTAGCCATCGCTGTAGTGGTACGTACAGACTTTAGTTCTAATTTTGACTTTGATCAATATTTGTCTTAACAAAGCTGCCAATGAGTAAAGTAAACGTTTTCTTTGGTTATTGATTTTATTATGAATTTTTCTGTTAGTTTTTGGTGTATTTGTGGGGAGTTCGCACTGGTAATCCGGTAATTAGCTGATACGGTATTTGACACGGTGCGGAGTCTGAGATGGAGTCTGTGAACGAAAACTCAATTACAGCATCTTCAAAGCAACAAGCCTCACAGTTGTATTTGCTCTTTTCTTGTTGACGAACACTGAACGGTGAACGGTGAACAGTGAGATCACAAGTCCGAATTGACGTCCGACTATTGTGTCCATTGACGAGTTACCATTGTTCAGCGTTTCGGTTTGTTAGCATCTCAAAGTTAAGATTTCGCGGCTCACAGATTTAAGTAGAAACTTGTGTTTGCTGTTTGCTTTTAAGTCATTTTAAGCGTGAAACTGATTTTTTAGTTACGTTTTGTTTATCACTTAATGAGAAATCAAATTACAAACTCAAACTTATGAGCTGTGAAAATATTTTAATTTTTTTACAGTTGGTCTTCCTTTTCGCTTTGGTCACATAGAAGCCTTAAGTCGGAGTTTTCATTGCAGCGATGTAACCCTTTTGGTATTTTATAATTATTTCTGCAAATAAAACTTATTTTCAATAAGAAAAAAACTGAGTGAACTTTTCATTGAAACCGACTTTTTTAGTCAAAGTTTGTGTTGAAGAGTTCACACTTACAAATCTCACTAATCAACTGAAGGTACCAGCTTTGAGAGGGAAATTAGTTAGAAGCATTTTCAGTTGGGAGGTGAAATTTTGCTGCCAATTTGACATTGTCGTTAGCCAGCCGAAAACATTTTTAAAGTTTTTCGGTTTAACAAGTCACAACACAATTTTCAATGAAATTCAATGGCTAAGGAAGCTCACCCAGGCTTCCAGGCTGGGTCATGCAACAACTATGAGTTTCTTGAAAGGATGCCATTGCGCAGAGTCTTTGATTTCGCCAGAAACCAAATCACATTTTGCAACTTTTTCGTTTTTTGAATTCACATTTGCAGTTGACGTGCGACCAATTTGATTAGGAAAAATTTAGAAATCACGAAGAAATTTTGTTCTCATTGTCATTAGGGCATGTTTTTGCTGTTGGTAATTCTGTTGTTGCTATTGTTGGTATTGTTGGTATTGTTGCTGTTATTGCTAATGTTGCTGTTGCCATTGCCATTTCAATTGATGTTGTTTCATAGAGCACATAGCACAAAGCACAAAGCATTGAGCATGTTTTGTTGACAATATTTGGTGTTTGTAATTAAATGTTGTTGCCACAAAAAGTGTTGAAAATTGTACCAGTAAACGATTTTCATGGAAATTAGTTCCCAGCCTCACAAAAAACGGGACAAACTTTGTTGAAGATCTTCAAAATTGTCACGAGACTTGAACACACTTTTTCAATAAATTCGCTTTGCCATACGATTAATGAGCTTAGAAAATGGCCTCTTCAACGGTTGATATGTTAAGTTCAAAGGAAAAGTCATCCATGAAAACAATCAGTGACGAAGGGGGCACAATTTCAATTAGAAGATTTCAACTATTTAATCGAACTTCATTAAGCAAATATCTATGAATAATCAATGTTAATTTAAACAACTCGCTGGTCACATATAGTATACCATATGTAGTTTGAATTGCTAAAATCGAAAAAAGATTAAATATTCTGAAAGTATTTATATCTTCATATCTTAATATATTTATATCTTCTTATGAAAGTATTTATCTTCTTTCCTATATTATTGGAATTTATTAAATATGCCTTTGAAGATTCACTGTAATGTTGGTATAATGATTAATTTTATAACTTCCATAGCTACCTTAGATATGCCAATAACCCATGTGTAATACTAGCTCCATTGCTAGCATAGGCATTTTCAGGATTACTTAAGAAATTGCTGACACAATGTGCCATTTAAACAATAATTTAGGGAATTATTTAAGTGAGTATCGTGTATAATTACACACCTCAAATAGAATATTAACGACTCCAAATGTCTGCATTTCACATTATAATTTGCCGACACTTGATTGCATTTAGTCGTCATTTGTTTAATATTCTGAATCTTCGTATGATTTGTTTATACAGAAAAGGTTTTAGATACGAAAAGGAGTAGTTTAGAGTATCTATTATGTGCCCTCCATACTTAAAAAAATATTTATTTATCGAAAGCAGACAATTTGCTTTCACCTCAATCCTTCATGGTTAAAAGAATAAAGTGGCACGCACTAACATAGACTGACATAGACTTCCTTACAATAGCTTTAAATCTTCTTCATATAATCATTCATTATACTGAAATACCTCTCTCTTCACACTTATATTAAATTTATTGTTGTTTTATATTTTTAATTTTATTTTTATTTCAACTTAATTTTTAGATGTCGGCCAGGTTGGCGTGGCCCACTGTGCAACGAATGCAACGTATATCCTGGCTGCAAGCATGGATCGTGCAATGGCGTTGCCTGGAAATGTGTCTGTGACACAAACTGGGGAGGCATATTATGTGATCAAGGTAAGCAGAGACTGGATGCACAGATTTTGCTGCATATTATTGAAGTTAATCGAAAATTATAATAAATCGAATACAAAATTGAGCGCAGTTGCACGAATCTGAATCTGAATCTGAATCGCATCGCTCTAAGAATAACAACAACGGCCAGCAATATGAGGATACATGGACCGATAGGTTCATATATGCAACACGATTTCATATATCATATTTTGCTGCTTCTGCTGCTGCTGCCGATGCTGTTATTACTATGTTGTTGTATTATTTGTTATTGTTGCTGAGCACTTAACAATTTCCACATTGTGCAATTTTCAATTGTTTTTCTTTATTTTTTCAATTTTATCGATCATTTTTCGTTTTGCAGATTTAAATTACTGTGGCACTCATGAACCCTGCATGCATGGCGGTACCTGTGAGAACACTGCACCTGATCAATATCGTTGCACTTGCGCAGAGGGGCTCTCGGGCGAACGTTGCCAAATTGTGGAGCATCCATGCGCAACGCAACCATGCAAAAATGGTGGCACTTGCACATTAAAAATGAGTAAACCGAAAACGAATACAAAGAAAAAATCAGAAAAGGCAGAATTTTAAGATCAAAACATCTTTGAGGTAGCGAAATGAATGTATGCAGTATCCTTGACTGCATCCGTGATTTGCTGCAAGTCAATTAAGCCTATAAATAAATTATTAAATTATCTTTTACGGTGCTTTTAATAATCATAAACAACAATTTACACACGTTAACTTACATTCCATTCTCGCACTTGCATAAATCTTTATTAGCCTTTAATATGAGTTTTATGCTTAATGCAATGCATACCACTCGATCCTAATACTCGAATTCTCTCCAGCGTTTCATAATTCATATCTCAAATTAAAAATTACTTTCTTACTGTTGCGAATAGGAATCGGCGATGCTGAACATAACTGCAATGCCGACATATCGTTCCATGCGTGGTATGAGTTCCGCCATGGGTAAACCGGTTAGCCGCCGCAGCTCACTATTGGGTCTAGCAGGACTTGCTGCAACTAACACGGCCACGACAAAAACACTAACTCTGAGTAACGAGCTGCAGCCTCGAAACGGCACGAGCGCTACTCTGAATGCTGCACTTGCTGCAGTGAAATTGATACCAAACGTTGCAGGCAGCAATCCGTCCTCCGCATCAGCCTTAATGCAGTTGCAGCAGCAAATGCATCACCATCACCACGCCGACTACACTTGCGCCTGCGCGCCCGGTTGGACTGGTCCGTCATGTGAAATAAGTGAGTTTTACAATATTTACAATTAATTTATTTCAATTATTTTCAATTCAATTTTTTCGTCGCTGCTCTGTGCTTTGCATTTCAAATCCGAATCCAAACTGCGGAATCGAATTCGTTTTAAGTAGAAACGGATTTGTACGAGTCGGGGTTTGCGTGAATCGTGGAGTGAATAGTGAATAGTGAATAGACAAGCGAAATGGCGAACGACACGCAACATGTGCAATTGCTGCTACGCGGCTGCTACGCGGCTGATAGATTGAAAGATACGCCGTGTAGCATTTGTAGCAATATTTGTAAAGTATCTGAAGTTAATAGCGTTTTCACTAAAACTGCATTTCGAACAAGTCAAACATTTGCAATTGAAATTAGTTTGTTGTTTGCCACTTAAAATATGTAAAAATTTCGTTTTAATTTAGAATTTAGTTTGAAAAGTTGTTTGATACAGTTTTGATTTAATTTTGATGCAATATTTTAATTGCATGCAACAAATTCGCATTTACGAAATATTTCATTTGTGCTAAATTGGCACTTGTTTTGCTTTCAAAAGTTGTCAAAAACAATTAAGTTTGTTCCTGAGAAAATTTTAATGACAGCGGCTTAATGTCGTTTAGGAACGAACGATAATTCTTATTGAATATAAATGCTTAAGATTTGGAAAAGTTTCTTGCAAAATATTTAATAATATTATTTTTCAAAGTATTTAAGTCATCTATTATTTGAACGTTTGATACAAATAAAGTCATATGAAGCAACTATCTGCCATTATCAAAAGACTTAAGTAACAAACTTGGTTATACTGTGGTTGCTAGAGATATTTCTTATACAATAATTCTTACTTTGCTTCATCTGGTTTTCGCTGTCACTTTGCTTATTCTTCCTTTTTTTCTTGTTTTTTTTATTTTCATTGGTGCTTTGGCTGTTTCTTATTTAAATGTATTTACGAGGGACTATAAAAGTACGTTTAGTTGGTAATAAAAAAAGCTGACAAAAATAATTTTATTTTCATAATTATGTCTTAATTATTTTTTCTTTCATTTTTCAAACATAATTTTCATCAATTTACATTTTTAGAGAAGGTTGATCCAGTTCCTGCAGTTATTCTTCCTTATTATTGCCGAAGATCCTTTCTCTAAAATTTTAATATATTTGAAAAAAAAAACAGAATAATAGCATACTGTGATGTAGAAAGTAATCGCAATGGATTCCCAATAAATTTTTGAAAACTTATAGTAAGCAGATTTAAGTATACCATTTAGCAGTTACTAACTGTTCAGCTTTAAGAAGTATAACAGCTACAACTTTTCCTATGGTGAAATAAATTAACATAATTCTTTGGTTGCTGTCTTCGGTTGCCTAATAAGTGGATTGCTATATTTTAGGTTCAATACCCTTGGATGTTGCTTTGTTTCTAGGTCTTACGTGTAGAACCAAGCTTCATCTCCTGTTACAATTTTGAATTATTAAACGTACTATTTTTAAATTCTTAAAGAGGATATTGATCAAAACGCAAAGGTCAATGTTTAAAAGTTAGACTTAAAATTCAAGGAACCCATTGTTCCTTTCAATTCAAGGAAGAAAGCAAGGAGGTATATTCCGCTATTCATATGAATTTAATTTAAAGATCTATCATAACTGCCATTTTTCTTTTCACTGGAAGCCAGTATTCTATTAAGTTCTATTTTTATTCTAATATATCAATATGAAAAGTCGGAGCATAAAAGTACGAACCGACTTTAAGTCGTTAATATTTATTTTACTTCTTTTTTTGTGGGAATCACATTTTTTATTCAAATATTTTTGGTAAATCAAGAAGAGTTAAGTAAAAACTTATTTGATAACTTGTGACTAATTGCTAATAGATTGTAGCTACAATACTACAGCAACAATAACAACGTAGTTTATACCAATCGCCAGTAAGTGGCTTCGGTTTATAATAAACAAAAAATACTAAGTGAACATTTTACACTTGACAAATAAATTTATTTAGGCACACAAAAATCGCATCAACAAAATATGAAAATTAAATAAATTTAAGTTTGTCACTTGACTTGAGATACAAAAACTAAACACAAAAATATCTGCGAATCACTTTTGGTGCTTTCAGTGTTTTTTGTAAACACTTAACTATACGAATTTGTACATTTTTTCATCTTAAAGATTTTCACACAGAAAACTCATAAAGCAAATCTGAGATCTGTCGGTTGTTTTAGGTTGTTTTTTGTTTTGACAAATGAGTTTCTTGTCAGAAAGGTGTTAAGTCTTTGCTTTTTAGGCATAGACAAGATGCGGAGGAAGAGGTTTGAATGAGTAAAGTTGCAAGTGGATTTCACTTGCGTGCACAGCATCTCGAAGACTTTAAAACCTGCGAATTTAATTTTTTTAGTCTTTAGTAAATATTTAAACTAAAATGTTGCAAATGTGCAAGAAATTCAATTTTATTATCCAAACAACCAAACAACCAAACCACCAAACAAGAAAGAAGAAGAGGAGAAACAGAAATCCTATTTATCAGATACTTTACAAATTTAAGTAACAAAGATGAACAAAAGGTGAAATGAAGCGAGTTGGTGCGTGTTTGTACGATGCTCATGTGCAATATTATTCCAAAAAAACAAATTTTTAATTGAAAAGCAAATAAAAATTAAAAAGATTAAATATTTGAAAGTACTGAAATGGGCCAGCAAATGAAGCACAAATTCACATAAGAAAATATTTACACTCTTTGAGCAGAAATCTGGAATCTATTAAGAGCTTCGGTTTTTAAAACTGTGCAAACATTTCAATTAATTTCAGCTTTTATCTCAGTGACAGGCGTCATTGTTGTGAATCAAATTTCATCAATCCATGCCTTCGTTTTTCCTTATGTGCTTCAAATTAGAAACGAATTTGGACAAATTAGGCACGCATTTTCAATTGGATTTGTGCTTCGAGGAAGGAATAGAAACTTGTTACAGTTACAAATTTCGCGATTTGGTTTAAGAAACCCAGAAATATTAAAATATGAAAGTCTGAAATCGCAGTGGATCCCGCTGCTTCGTCGCCTTTCACCTTCGCTCACTATCTGTTCAATTCGTGCGATTTAATTCTGTTTAATTTATTATTTTTTCCAAATCCAAAATTCACATGGAAGATTTGCAGGTTTAAGAATTTGGATTTTGCATCATTGAAATGTTGCGGCGCTGTATTTTCTGCATCCAAGCACTTGTTCATTTAAATGGCTACGGTGAAATGCGGTCATAATTTCTGCAAACGTCTTAAGACAAAATTAAGCCTTTTTCCAGCTTTACTGCAATTCACAGATTTCTTGGTTGTACTCTTTTTTCAAGTATTTGAACAACTTTTTTGCATTGTCGTAATTATTTAAAGATTCGCTTTACTTCATAATTTGCTTTTTACAGATTTTTTATTTCATATTTTATGTAAGTTAGCTTGGAAGATTTGGTTTTTTCTCATCCAATGTTTATTTAAAACTTGTTCGATGGTTTGTTGATCTGGTATAGAAATTACCACATCCATTACTAAAGGCTTAATGTAGTGTCTCTAATTCTAAAAGAAGAATGTTTTCTAATAGATCGCATTTCGTGATTTTTTACTAAAATCATAAAGTTTAAAAATTATAAACTTTGTTATATTTTTCCTTGACGATCAAGTCAGTCAGTTTAGATTTAAAGTCACAGATAAAAATGTCACTTACAAGTTGAAAGCTACATGTTTACATTTGCATTCGAGCACTTTCAACTGTTCCACTTCAACTCGTCTTGATGCCTTATTGCGGTGCACCAATGAATTAAGTTTTCCTACTCTTTTTCTTAATCAAAAACAAGAAATCTTATTTTTGTATATTTAATTTTATTTATTTTAATTTTAATGCACATTTTATTTATTCCTCGTAGATATCGACGAATCTGCTGGCGGTCTCGGCGAACACGGTGGCACTTACATTGATCTAATCGACGCTTTCCGCTGCGTCTGTCCTCCATAGTGGAACGGTGATGTGCGTCAATTGGATGTAAATGAATGCGAATGCGTTCGCGGTTCACATTGCTCAGGCAACAACAACAACCTTGTCTTTGACTTTCTCAACTGCCTTAACTGCTGCATCATCATTATCCACGAAAACATCCACTTCAGTATCTTCATCATCGCCTTCATCAGCAGCAGCCTTAACATCAAAGTGAGCAATAGCAACTTGCTTTACACAACTATAATAACAACGACAACAAAAACCTATATCCTTACTTTAATGCTCACAACATACAAATCTGTTTGGCTTGTTTGGCTTGTTCTCATGCATCTGCATAGATGGCTGGGGTGGTCCTATTGCTCCAAAAATTTGTTTGATTGCGTGGGACAGTTTAGGAATCACGCTGTTTGTATTAATTTATAAAATAAATTATTGTAGATGTGCATACACAAATGTACATGCCTTGCAGGGGTAAGGCGATATTTTTTATCTCGTTTTTTAACTAATCTTCTTCCTTAGTTCTTATATATATCTTAATTCTAATTCAAATCTGAAGTATTTATTATTTATTGCTGCAATTTTTTTACGCTTTTTCATTTCAGATTCTGAAGTCAAAATCGATTTCGTAAATTTGCAATATTTCAATAACGATGACTGCAAAGATGGAATCGGTAAATTTAAGTGCTGTTCACAATCTGTTTACAGATTGTTTGTGTTTTTATTTATATTAAATTAATTTAATAGAAGCTGTGTATGTATTATTCAAGATTATGTTAATTTCTAAAAATAATTCAATGTTGTAAATGTTTCAATAACATGAAAATTAATAAAAAAGATTGAAATATACTTAAATTTTCGAATTTTATATTAAATATCAAAAAAAGAAAATATATGTTCTAATAGATCACATCTTTCTTATTGTATTTTATATACATTACACCAATTCCAATCATTTTTCTGTATAATCAATTGCTGTAGTAATAAATAACTTCTTCCAATTATTAAGTTATTGTTTTCTACACAGTATCTGAAAAATCATGTATACATCATTTACTAAAGTATTTAAGCCAGATATTGGTAATCTTTCCATTACAAAGCAAATTGCTCTTTTTTATTTGCTTTTCGTATCGGCTGCGTTTCGTTTCTTTTGAACAAGTAGAGCATAGGCGCTTTTTTTACCACACTCTTAGCCTCTTATGGATATCTAAGCTTCGCAACCTACCTAAGTGGCTGATTAGATCAAGTGGCACTCAGTAGATATCCTTCCGTTACCCATAATTAGCGATTTAATTAGAAACCGTAAGAGCTAAAAAGAAAAACTAAATAGATCTCATTGAATTTAGGTAATTTAACAGATCTTTCATTCTTATTGATGGGCAGTCTGAGAAACTGTCATAAAAGAACTTCCCTAAAATCCTGTTTCTTCTGAAAATACAGCTGATCAGTGATAGAGAAAATGCTTAAATGATATTTTTGCTATAGGTCTCCACAACATCTACAATGAATGTTAAAACTAATGTACAGTTTGTTAGCATGGTAAAACTACTTTTGAAAAACTATGTTGGATATATCTGCTAGACAAAATAATTTTTTCAAGTCTTTTAAATCTTGGAAATTGACAAAGAAATTGTTCAATTGTTTTGCTTCATCTACATTTCCGACTAAAGAGAATACCCAATTTTTCTGAATGTATGTCAAATGGCTAATGACATGTCAACACAAGCTCGAATTTCGAAACAATAGGATTTTCGTTCTTCATAAATTGTAGCTTGACCAAGTTTCCAACATTAAGTTAATTTAAATTTCTTCATATAAAATGAAAGTAAATTACCTTACTTCTGTTACGCGTGTAGTGATAAACCTAGTTTAAAAATAATGTGAACATAAACAAAAAAACAAAATGTCAACTAACAATACTCAAAAAAAGAATTCGCTTAGCTGTACTAAAAAAAATAACAAGCAATAACCAAAGTGCCAACTAACAACACTAAAACGAGAAACTATATATGTTTAATACTAAATAGTAACAGATGTATGAAAATATATATAAACAAAATACTGAATGTTAATAATACACAATTTTAAATATTTTAATCGAACAAATAAAATATATGAATGTTATATTTTTAAACTAAATTCCTATAAAATACCTCACCACGTGTGGTATATAGTTTTGAATTTTTCCTCATTAAAAAATCACAAGAAAAGTTCGAGTTTGTTGCTTAAGTCACTTGATTTCTTCAAATCGCCTCACTTTTCAACACCTTTTATTCAAGCAACTTGAATCAAGAATCAAGCAATTCTTTAAATTATAATAAAAAAGAGAAGATTATATTAAGAACAATAAAACAATATTATCAGGGCAGCAAATAGAAGACATTTGCCAACAGAAGTAAACATAGCCGACAGTAAATATTTCATAATTTTCTTACTCTAAAAACGTTTTTGTAAAGAAATTAATTCGTTTAACATAAAAAAACATATTTCAGTTCTGATTAGAAAAAAATTGATATAATAAAATGATAATAAAGAAAATTAACTACCTAAGTCGATGACACTGATGAGGATGATGACCAATCAGTTCACCTAAAAACCTAAAAGCCAAAATGTTTCAATATTTCATTTATGAAGTTGCTCCATACAACATTTGTGTGTTGCTTGTCTGTTGCCTGTAAAACTAAATCAGAGACAGAGACGAGATTGGGAGAAGAATTAGTTATTGACTTTAAAGAAGCAGTTTATGGTCTACTTCTTTGACTTCTTCGGCTCGTTCTCGTAACTCTACGTTGTGGCAGATTAAATCGAATGTAGAAGTTCAATGCCAAAAATAAATAAAATCCGAAAAAAGAAACATTTTGTAGCCAATAGTATTTGTCACTCTATGGTGCAGTAGTGATCTGTGTCTGTAACTGTATCTGTATCTGTATATTCATGTATGTGTGAGTATCTCCAGTTCGTTCATATGTATCTGTCACATGAATTCAATGCTTTAATACCTTTTAACACTAATCGCATTACGAGCAATCAATTGTGATGAGAATATAAAATACAAAATGTTAAGTCCAAAGATGAGGCTCCACACAAAAGCAAAAAATATTTATGGCAACTTAAAGATTTTCTCACGTGTTATATACATAAATTGTTGCTGTTATTATTATTATTGTTATTATTTGTTTTTGTAATGCTAAAACTGGAGCTTGACACTAGAGAAATGAATTTAGATTTATTTTGGTACACGAATCTTTATGAACAAATGATGTACTATCTCAAATTCCAATGGGACATGAATAAGGTACAGGAAATGATACGGAATAAAAGTGTTAATAGTAGAAGGATTAGATTACTATAAAAAAAAACCAATAGTGGAGTCATTGAGGTATGCATAAAATACAACTCACTTAAATATATAAAAGATATAAAATAAAAACAATTTTATATTATTAAAAATTTATTTAAAAAAGGCGCAATTAAAGATCTTATGACGTGTCAAAAAAATTTTATTCGATTTTTTCAATTTTCTGCAAAAATTCGCATTAGTAGTAGAATTAATCAAATGGAATGAATATCTTAACAGCACTGATTGTTCATGTTTGTTTAAACAACATATATTATGTCTAAACTGATATATAATAAAATATACCTCTACTTATGTATCTAGATAATATGATAGCCCACGCATAGACACATAATAATAACATTGATTAGTTAAACAATGACGACTCTTAATGGCATTTGCTTATTTATAAAAAAAGCTTCTTGGAATTGTTTTTTAAATAAACTAAAAAAGATTTCAAAGTTGATTTAACATAAATTTACCTTCTCACCTAAAAGCAAAATCAATCGTGTGTGGTAAAGTAAATAAAACGTTTATAAAACTTAAGTATTCAATCATTAAATATATTCATTTTCAAATATTTAATCGACACCTGATATTTATCTGATCCAAAGGCAAATGATTTAACGATGTCATAAAGGCAACGAAATCATTTTAAAATGTTTAACATTTAATAAGCCACAAGCGTTCAGTAAACGTAAAGCAAGGTATTTAAGCAACACCTATTATTACTTTCGAAAAGATAAGTAGATTGATCATAAAACAACATTCAAAATGAAAAATTTTGTTTTTTTAGAACTTTTCATTTATTAAAATCTTAGTTAAAAATGTTAAATCAACTTCATAGGGATATATTATATATAAAATGGAGTCTACGATAACTAGTTAGGATTATGGAGCAAGTAAGTATTATCCCTAAAATCTACTTTAACACTTAGTAACAGTTAATGGTTAATACTTATACACCAGTCGAGAAACTGAATTAAGAAAGAATCACTTAATATGATATCAGTTAATTTCTAGATTTTTATTCTTCTTAGAAGCACTGACTAAGATATCGTTTCCTGCTTCCATAGCCATCGTTTTGTGCATCCCCTTACATCAACCGAAAAATAATTACCATATTAGTTTTATATATGAACTGCTCTCATTATTTTTTAATTGCATAGTGTCGAAGAAGATTACAAGAGAGTTATGTTCGCAGACTACATAATTTGTGGAAATTTAACTTTACACTCACTCTCTTGATTTTATTTATTTTAGCGCTTTGATAATAATATATCGTAAAAAATAAAAATTCATGTAGTTATTAGTTTAAAAATGTTCTCTGGAAAAAGTGATATATATATTTTCAAAGACTACCATTGTCGCTACTTATAATTCTTCAAAGTCTACATTTCAAGTCAAGGAATAATAGCTGGATCGAAATTCAATACAGTTATTAATTTAAAAATGTTCACTGTAAAATTTAATGATATATATCATTTCAAAGACTACCAGTGCCCCTACTTATAATTCTACAGAGTCAAAATTTCAAATCAAGGAATAATGGCTGGAACACCTCTAACAGAACCAGCTCTCCATTCTCACTGTATAGTCATCTGACCAGTCTTCATTTGTTACTATAATCATAAACCTATTTAAACAGGCTGCGCATATCAAAACTAAAAACCAATGGTATAATGGAATCTATAAATTGATCCGAAATGTCCATGTAACACTGCAGCAGATTGTTGGCCACACTCTTAACAACTGTTGAATGTTTTAGAAAAAGCGTTATAAAAGCTGACTCCTGGTTCAATACGTTTAATTTTTGTTCATGAATTTTTAAAATTTTGCTATTAAATTACTTTGACCAGATTATAGAATATTTATTACACATCTTTAAGAATTTACCCAAGAAAACTTACCTTAATCCATGTCTAATGCAATTACCTGGACTACAATAGCAATAATCTAAATTTAATATGTTCAATGATTTCCATGAGAACTTGTCCCGTTGCTCTTGACATATGCTTGAATCAACCTAGTCATTTACATACTTGTATATTTAGGAGCCTTCTTTGAGGAATTGCTTTTTTA